GTTTCCATCAGGTTGCATCCAGCAGCCCGGGGTCCGGCTACTCTCCGGCGTTTCGTGAATTTAGATGAGCCCGGCCTGTCCGGCTTAATTCGCGTGCACCTCATAAGAAGCGAGTCATAATCTCCCCCTCGCACACACGCGCTCTATATTTTTGTTACGTTATTGGAGCGTCGTCGCGGCCGGCGACCGCCGCCCGCTTTTTTTTGGGTGTAAAAATGTAACTGGTTCGTTGCACGCGTCAGCTCGGCGAACGTAAAAATATATTACGCTCCTGACCCGGACTCTCTGTAATATTCATCGTATTTATCGCACATACGTCCGCACGAGCACGAATAATTACGCAGTCGTGGATTATCCGTGGACGCGCCAACTCTGCGGTCTCGTTCCCTGAATTTTCGCCAAGATCACACGGCGATGCGACATCGTATTAAACATGATATTCGCCCTCCCCCTGCCGGAGCGTGACAATCGCATTCCCATCGATTTCTAACTGTCGCGAGTATCTCTGCATTAATTCCACTTCGCTCAGTGGCAAAACGAGCGGGCGCTTCATCGGATACCGGAAAACCCTCTTTCGCGTTACGTGTTTCGTCTACGAGACGTAGGGACGGCGACTATGTCTGCCGTGGAAAAATGCCTGCGGAGAGCTCGGGTCACGTACAATGGGCGCGATAACGTAGTCGCTCTTCGTATTCCTTTCTCCGTCTTCCTCCCTCCACCCTTCCGTCACGTGTTCGCGCTCATCCCCTTTTCGTTTCCTCATTCTAGTCTCGAATGTTCGTTTTCCCCTCCCCCCGGCCTCCCCGTATTCAAAGTGCAAGGAGCAAAAGGAAGAAGCACGCGTGCACAAAGATCACACGCCGCCCAGATTGAGGCTGCAGGGTAAACGTTCGCGTTCCCTCTTTCGCTTCCGGGCGTTCTGTCTCTCCTCAGCCCTCGGATATCCCCTGCCCGGATCTCCTTCTCTCTCTCTCTCGCTCTTGCTTTGAGCAAATCTGCGTGAAAATGGGAAGAACGTCTAGTTCTACGAGCCACGCCGGAGGGAGGGCGAACAGTGTGTACGTTGAATGTGTGCCTATACGTGCACGCGTGAATACGGTGTGGCACAAGCGAGGACCCAAGTGAGAACGAGAGAAAGGGAGAGAGAGAGAGAGAGAGAGAGGGGGGGGGACAGAGATTAGTGAGAGATAACCATGGCGAATATCAGAGCCCTCCTGATGACGGCGGGGTCGAATAACGAGGCCTCGCCGTCCACGATAGGACACGGTTCGGAGTTGAAAATTACTTCCGCGTCACGGAGCTTTTCCTGCGGGGGCCAGACGACGACCCTCCGACGAGTACCAGCCGGAGGTGAGTTATGATAGTCTATCGAAGTAAGTTCGTTACCGATGAGATTCTTGATTTTCTATTTATCGGGAGACCGTAAGGCAGCTAGGTAATAAGTCTCTCGTAGCCGTTGCCTCCCCCTCCGCCCTCCCCCTCTCCGCTCCCTCCCCCGGACGAAATTAGTTCTTGAAGGAAATATATTGCGGATGCCGAGGTAAATACTGAAAAATCCCGGCGCTTCAGGTAATCTTTTTTCTATTACGACCCGGCAATTTGCGACGGAGCGCGATAAATTCGCGCGAGCGAGTGAATTTTAACACTTATACGTGGTAATATCATAACGCGGGCATTGAATAATGTTCGCGGAAAGATAGAGCGTTGGACGATGAAGCGCTCGCGCGAGAATTCAGGAAGATGATTACCGCGAGAGCAAATAAAGCATGCTTATGAATGAAAGAATCATGAATGGGGGAGCCAACATAGTTAGAAACGAGATTTCGGATTCTATTATCCAGAAATGGAAGAAAGAGCCAGCAGTGGGTTTTATTGAAGACCGCGGAGAACGCGGAGCACGGCGATGTATTTCCCCGCTTGATCGCGGAACTCATTGATCCTACGTTATTATTAATAAATTTGTGCGCGTGTACTCTCCGCGTAATGGAATAAAAATGCGACGATAATAGTGAGCACGGCGGAGAACGCGCGTCTACCGATGGCATTTGAAAAATGAACCGCGCTCGTTACGATTGATTATGACTTACCGCGCTGTTTCGGTAAGCGGAATAAATGCACTCGCTTTATTGTGCATCCATTAAAATTCCATTTACCAATGGCAGCTTATGGCTCGTAGGATAATAGCCGCAGCAGCACTCGATGTCCGATAGAATAGCTTTAACTACCGATTTTCCGTCTTCAATTATGCTGTTTGATCGATTTAGCACGAAATTTCTTCTGCCTTTGTGACTAATTCACAAGTCATTTTACCACCAGATCCTTAGAGATACAATATATTACACTATAAATCCTTAGAGAGATATTATACTACAACTAACTACTGTTGTGCAGTTATATCTCGATTTCACAACTCTCGCTACATATAATTCGTGTGAGATTATCGCGATATCCTTCTGAGTGGTCTCTCTCTCTCTTGCATATTTTTCTATGTTTTTTTACAGCGCAGTGAAGATCGCGACTTGTATCTATGTCAAATTGTCTTTCGATTCTTCGCGCAATTTTTTGCGAGATACGTCAAAATCCAAACCGTTCACACGAAGCGCACTTATCTGACGTAAATTTAAGATTACGTCCGTAGAATTTGCGTAGTTTCGTCGCCACAAGCAAATCGCTTAACCGCCGTGATGTATTTTGACGGGCTAATGGATATCGCGTACGGATTATCATGCTAAAGAGACGTTAATTAACACGTCGCATCCAGTAATGGCCGTTCAACCGGGACAGAGGTTCTCATATATGCAATACCCGTATCGTGTACGGTGTTTCCTGGATAAAAGGAGAACGGAAATTAACACTTGAACACCCTGCGGCTGCCATTGAGATAACTCTTACAGCTCCGTGTGTACAATAGTTTTGACAGAAACACTCCACTAATTTAATATGACAATCTGCACGCAATGTTGTAAGATTAGTGGAGTAATTAAGTTGTATTTTATATGTAAAATGTTTATACTCCTTATATTAGTAACAGTCCTATATATATAAAAAACAGACGTGTTAAGTCGAAAGTCTCGAAGTATCGTTGTCGCCTTTCCGAGACGCTAATTGTCTGTCTCGCTTGTGCGATACGACATGCTTCAATCGTGTTATTTGCTGCTGTTAAACCATGCGAATTTTTAGAGAGAGGCGCGCGCAAAGGGCGCGCTTGCGTTGTCTAGTACTCGTAAAATATCGAGGGGAAACCGCTGAGGGCATTGTGGTGTACAGATTTGCGGCAATTACTGGGCATTACTAGACATTTTTTGGGCATTAGGCCTGGGGCATTACAAAGATAAAATAAGATAAAGTAAGGTCCACTGGGCATTAGTGGGCATTGGCGTACAAGATTTTGGTCAGCGGTTTCCCCCTCGTAAAATATCTTACAATTCATATTACTGTTAATTTTGTAGTTACTTAAAATTTATCACTTAATTATTAAAATTATTAAAATAGGTTGGTATCAAAAGTAATATTAATAATACGAAGGTAGCTATTTCTATGAAAAGATGCGGCGATTATCTGAGATGATCACAGAATCGCTTTAAAAAGCATAAACCGCGGAACAGCTTCGGAAATGTGTCGGGCTAAACCGTCGCATTTCTACTTGTAATCGCTACGGAACTTCCTGATTTGCGCTCTTGTGTTACAATCCTGCTAAAATTATCAGTCGTACTGTCGACGCATGCGATTATTGGATCTATAAGGAATCTTTGAACGGAGAACGATTAGAGCATAGCCAAGAAAATCTGTTTTGCGGGATTATTTTATAATTGAAACTGACCAAGGTATGAAGAAATGATTATAACCCGTAGCGAGTGTAAAAATTATTCTAGGTCCCGCGCGTATCGGATTAAAAATCAGACGGCAGTGGCTTTATCGTTTCGTAACTTATTATTGCTATGCTGAATAAGCCAGGAGAGGGAACTTGAGTTAAATCCAGGAAATCGAGTCGTTTCGCGAATGGAATCTGCTAATTTCCCCTCGACATATATGTAGCACACATATATGCATATAAAATGAAATAGGGGCATTAATATTTTAGCTACGTCGTAATTACAAGCAAGTGAGTCGGCAGATATTCTATTAAAACTAAAAGAGCGTCACGCGTGATGGCAAATGGAGATTAGCACAACGATGCGTGTATACGTAAGATTAGTACAGCGCAGACTGCATTGAACGCTATATCGTGCAATCCGTCTTTACAATGTGACATGAAATGACGAGATTTATTGGCAGAAAATAAATTTCGTTCTACGATTTTCCAATATTTCATCTTCAATTCCAACCGTATAACGCCTGCATAAAACCCGCGCGAGGCGCCGAGAAGAATCGAATTTCGGCACACCGCCGCGAACTTAAAATGAAATCCAATTGAAAAGTGTGATGACTTTTTGCAGTATCGTGTATTGAAATGAATTGCAATATCGAATCTTATTGTGCAAAATGAAAAACGTAATCGTCCCGCAAAAATGAAAATGCGGAACAAGGAGAGAGCAATCCCTCTTCGAACATTTTTATATGCAAATTAATCAGGATTTACATTCTTGCGGTAAAGCGTAGATGTAATAATAATATACATGGCGGTCAAGTGTACTGTAATATTGGCGTGACGTTATTTACAAGTGTGGAAAGAAACGGTATATGAATTCACATCTTAATAAAATACAAGTATAGGCTGTCTACTCATCTTGCCTTAGACTCGCATTGGCCAGTCTTGTTTATTTACAAGTGTTATTAAAAACCGTACGAGTAATCTAGCAATTCTTGTCATTGGTAAATCATTAGTTATAAAAAAGTACGTATTCCCTTGAAGCGAACCGAAATATTCGTATATAAATATCGACGGAGAAATTTAGGGAATCACCTAATATCGGCAGATGTGCAGTCAATTCGGGCTTACGGTGCCCGGGAAAGAAATCTCGAGCGCGATTCGATCGATGACCCAGCCAGACGGTACCTACCTCTATGCCACGTCGATTCCTCCATCGCACCCACTTGTTGAACCCTGGCCGCCAATACTCGACAAAGTAGTCCTCGGTGTACTCGACGCCGTTGCCGTTGCCGAATCTGCCCTGAGTCTTGGTGGACGTCAGCAAACGCGGGGTGTGCAGATTCACCTCTAGGTATTCCTTGCCTTCCTTGGTTACCATATTTCTCGGGCACCAAGCGCCGCCACCTTTGTCTTGTCGTAGCCTGAGAAACCGAGGAATTATATTACGAGTTATTGAACGCTCTTGTGGGAAGTACGTCGCGTGAAGACACGCGAGGTACGCACACGTGGTAGATGCCCACGTACGTATACGTTTGCGTGACAAACGCGCGAGCGCGTTCTCGTTTATGCTTTTCTAGCCGCGCGTATCGTGGCGAGTGCCGCGCACGCATTGAGAAGAAGGCAATAAAAGTGACACCCGAATGGAAAATGTATACCTATGCATATATAATACACACATACACATCGTGGATTTATTGTGTGGATGGTATAATTAATGAGTTTCCCCCGTTCCTGGTCTCCTTTCAAGATCAACGGCCGCCTGCGTGTAAATTAATGACGCGGCGATTGATTTACGGGCGATCTTTGAATCTGAGCACGCTACCTCGTCCGAGGTTCACGCAGTATTGATTATGAATAACTTATTTTACAGCGAAGCTTTTATCGCGATAGCAGCTTCTTGTGGACAGAAGAAAATGGAAGTAATTTTTTCAGGGCTTTTGAAGCTCGCGGAAGGGGGCGAGAGGCTGGTGGTTAATAGATTCTGGGAAGAAAAATTGTAACCATAAAAGATTTATGTATAAATTTGAGAAAAGGTATAAAGCAGTTATAATTATAACTATATGGAAAATCTAAAGTTGCAATTGTATATTCCGTTCCTATTTTCGTTTGCAACAGAAGCTTTATGCTCTAATATTTTATTTTGAGATATTTTTGTGAAGCGGATGACATAAAAAAAGATGAAGAATAAAATAAACAAAAACGCTACGTAGATTGTAGATTCGCAATAATGCTCAAAGTGAACAAATCTGAAAAATAGTAACTCTAGATAAATAATTGATTAAATGTTTCTGCAAATTAAATTGCATCTGGAGCTGCTTTTTTCGAACGTACGCGTGCAATTGCTGCAATATTCCGTGCACAAGTTGATTATTTTTTCTTCGCGTAACACAAAGTCGAACGAAAAGAAATGTTAAAAGTGACCTCGATTATTAAATACTTGCAATATAACCCGTGGGAACACGCAGGAATTGTTGGACGGGCGTATTCTGTCAGCGCCTTAACTCCCAATTTTCTGAATTTTCAAAGCTAGCGGCTCCGACAATGAACCCGCTAAATTAAATTCCGGAAATATATCTTTCGTCAAGAATTTCGTGGGGCATATTGGCTCGCTAATTAAATCTTAAAACGAAACTCCGGGCGAGTACGAAGCGATGACGTAGTTTATAAGAGACACGCTCGCGTTATTATGAGGTGTTAGTCCCGACACGCGTGTCACGAACACCCCGGGAATCCATTGAAATACATACGTACATTCCACGCCCACGGTTGTGTCACAAAGGGAGAGAGAATCTCCATGGAAATATTTCAGCTGGTTCAGTCATGGAGGACTGCTATACATGTAGGCGGTATGCCCGCATGTAAACAATAGACCAGGCGAAATCCACTGAAAGCGTTTGCGGTTAATTAGGTAGCAATACTGTTAACAATGTCCTGGCTTCAGTAAGGCCCTTCGTAACCTTGCGTAGCAATCCGTCGCAATCCGTAGTTACGCAGCTCGACGAGCACGGAGTTTCGTTTAAACGAAAGTAACCACTGCTTGCTCTCGGCCAACTAATTTCGCGATAGCTTAAGAAGATACTAATTCATTTGACGTCGTCTATTCGCGATCGTCAGCGAGATCGCGCTCAAGATAAAAGGGATATAGAAGCTCGGGATTCTATACCAGCGCTAATTGCTGCAAATGCACGCGGCCACACATTTAAATAGAGCGGATTGTTTTATAATACAATGCATAAGTCATTTGCTGTGAATCACGGTTGATTTATCGAAATTTCTATTTATCGTTATCTGCCCGGTTACACATCGATAATAACGCTTCCTCCTCTCTTCACATTTATTCGTGGTCGACATTTTCTATCTCAATTCATGATAAACTCCAAACGAAACGTGTAATTAAATTTCTGAGATAAAATAAGCTGAATTTCGCAAATTTTATTATTGCAATATTTTGTTATTGCTAATAACTTCAACAAAACGGAAACTTTATTGAATTCCGTTTTATTTGACTATGCAAAAATATAAATTATTTCGGAGATCCGGTAATAAGATCGTTTTCATTATTTTGTTTATTTCGAGAAGTGACTTCTGCTGGCACTAGCTACAATATTGACCGTGTTGCAGTACTTTCGCCCGTTAATTGCGCCATCACGTTTCCAGATGCTCCGTAAGTTGAACGTAAAAATAAAAGAAAGCGGCGGAGCGGGAGAGCCGTAAAAATTCCCGTACGTGCCTTCTTCGAACCTGAAAGATTCATGGTGTAGAAATGTAGAGCTGCCGCGTTGTTAAACAGAAACGTAAACGAACATTCGGAAATGCGTCGCTCAGCAGGCACTTAATCAGAAAACTTCTACAGGTTTGAGTGAATGTCGATTGTAACACAAGTTCGCTTAGAATTTAGAATATTGGAAAAGAACTGGAGCTCAGCGATGTGTCGCATATCATGTTCTCACTTAAATAATTCAGACCACTTCAGAATTCTTGCTATAAATATTTATTCTCTAAATTTTAATAGAAATCCTATCTCATATTAGAGGACTTTCCTCTATCCTTAAATCTTGTTGGAAATTTTACGTTTGGATTATCCTTCAGAATTCTCTTGTTCAACTTTCTGCAATTCGTCATTTGGACATTAAATTGCGATTTAAAGACACTTATATGACACACCGCAAAAACATTGTTACATCTAAATTGTAGATTTTTCTTACGTACACGTAACGTTTAATATTTAAAAAATGCTGCAATACACTGAAGATGACCTCGTTACAGGTCGAAACGTTTGTATTACTTTTATAAATAGGTATATTTTTAACACGTACACCAGTGTCTGGTTCGTTAGCTCCTTTGAACGTTAATTTATTTTATATTATCGAACCTTTATCGTACATTAATCTTGCTACAAATATTTCATCTCATTAGAAATAATTTTTCAAGTAATTCAACGAAGAGAACGATACAGATACGATAAATTGCAGTTTTCTCTTTCCCAAAAATAGATGGAGAGTGCGATCTTAATAGGAAGCCAATAGTCTCCTAGGTACAATTTACGGCAGGCAACCGGCGAACCGACCAGCCATCCCGTAGCGCGGTACTCTAAAGTAGCCTTCTCGAGAAATGTACGAGGGGGTAAGAGAGCTCGGCCCACGGGCCGACCAGAAGCATTACGTCGCCTCATCAGTCGAAAGGTGCATTAGCATTGCTAATGACCCGCGATCGTTACACACGCCGCAGCTACCATCCACGGCGCTTCGCGCGCGGCGTATTTGTTATTTGGAAGTGGGCCACGACGAATGGAAAGGAGAAGTGGAATTTCTAAAGGATGAGAGAAACGGGAGGCCGGCAGCCCCCCCGTTAACCCGCAATCATTTTCGCACGACAATATCTCGCGACCTCACGTAGGTATGCGTCCATTGTTTCATTCGGCTAAAACACCACGCGGACATCGTTCAGCTCGGCCGACTATAGAAGAGAATTTCCCGTTGCCTTTTACGCGAAATTCCCATAGCTATTAACAAATTGATGCGTCAAGCTCTCCCGCTCCAACCCCTCTGCCACGTTTTTGTGGATTTAAAGCGCTCCTTGCGAAATATCTTCCGTAATTCTGTAAAACGCCCGACCCGTAATCCATTCAATTAAGGTTATTGTTTTATCACGATAAATACAGAAAATTTACAGTGAAATGAGCGATTCCCAGTTATTAATCGTGAAGAAATATACCGCGTACGTTTGCAAATGCGATATAATGTGTGCACAGTAAATATTGAATCACAAAAGATATTACGCAGTGCTGAATTACTTACGATCAATAAAACCATTTTGTAATTTGCACATCCCTTTGTGCGCGTTCTCATTCATAATTTTTCGCGATGATGAAGTCGATCATTATTTCGCGCACGTTCGCGTAGCGTGTATATATACATATTGTAGCCTACGATGGTTACGTCCGATTTCACTTGGAAAACCTGAATTTTCCAGCCGCAACAGAACGTTGCGCCGATCACTTTCTACCTCTTCTTTAAGGCATATTTATATTCAGGCCGCGCGCGAGCCCGCTTGCTTTCTTCTATTATCTCCCGGCGTGCCCAGCTTTAGTTGGAGCTCCCACCGCCTCTCGCTTCGAGAATAGCTGGTAAAAACTAATTAAATTTTCCCATAATATGGCGACTTTGATGATAACCGTTATTACATTTTTGGGAGAACGCGAAGAGAGGAACGCGAAACGAATAAAATGGTACAGGCGGCCGCACACGCATCGCGCGACATTTTACGACCGTTTCGGGGCTAATCCCGACGCTAATTAGACGCGAAATGAGCAACGATTACGTCACCCGGCGAAGGACAAAAACACCTGCTATGCGAGCGGCGCGGGCTATTCTGAAAATAAATGCTTCCACACGAACTACAGAAGCCCGACTCGAAAGTATGTCACTGTAGGTGACGGTAGGCACGTTTCCAGAGACAAAAGATTAGAAGATATGAGGAGACGCTCACTGAAAGATATATGGTTTTGTTCCTTTTTCGTTATATGCCGCTTTGTCCCCGGGAAAAAGCTTCAAGGCGCGATAACAGCTTGGTTGTAGAGTGAAATAGCTTCGCAGCGTGATAACAATATAGTGAACGATATATCCATCTCTTCAAATTAGCATTTATATTATCACTCGATATGTAATCTAAGCAGACGCAGTGGAATAAAAATTATAGCTCCTTTTATTCCTTTTATTTACTCGCCTACATTGCATGAGATGAGACCATTTACATGTTATACTCGCGCTTGGTACGTTCTAAAAATTTCTATATACCTCCCACGTTTTGAATAATTAAATTTTTACGCTTCTCCTTATATCGCGCCATCCAATTGTCATCGTTACCTTAGATCGAGCTAAATTCACACTGAAAAAGTATTTTCACACATAAGTATTTAACA